GAGAAGAGAAAAAAAAAAAAAAAAAAAAAAAAAAAAAAAAAAAAAAAAAAAGAGTAGAAGAAAGGGAAAGGGTAGTAGCGGCATATGGTATTAAGAATGGAAAATCCGAAATCGAGCGTGGAAAGTCAAAACCCCGCGCCCTCTCCCATTTTCGAAATGGAAAACCAAAACCAAGACGAATGGGAGCTCCACGTCGACCACGGCTTCGTCTACAAGCGCAAGCGCCGCCGCATCGACCCTACTCCGCCGCCGCACCCAGAACCAGAGGCGGCGGCGGAGCAGCGCCGGCGAGAGCGCAAGAAACAAACCCTACTCAAGCTCAAAACCAAGTACGAGAACGAGATTCTTCAGTGGGAATCCTTGTCGAACACCTTGCACTCACTGCAACAACAACGCACCACTCTTCAACCACAGCCCATCCCTGCCACGTCGCTCCCTTCCACTTCCGACTCCACCCATTCCCTCCTCGACGACCTTCTATTGCAGGTAACAACCCTCAATTTGCAATTTCGTTAACACTTTACCTAATTTCTAGGTCAGGTGTAATTATAGGGTTCGCAATTGAATTTAGTAGCGTGTGTGTGTCTGTGGATTTAACAGGTGGAGGCTCAGGAAGCAATAATTCGCGATGTTTCGAATTTATGCGACATAGCAGAAGCAGTGTGCGTTAAGCGAGAGGAACAGTTTAAACAAACCTTGTTTGATCTTCCGATTTGGGCTTCGCCGCACGATCTCATGCAAGTGCTGTGTGATGATGATTGATTCAGCCTACTCGCTTTGCCCAAGGAATTTTACTATTATGTGTAAGTGTAGCTCTGTAGCACAGTGGTGTCGTGTCCTGTCGTGTAGATTAGATATTTGGTAGGTTGGTAAATATTTTTAGATTGATTGTGTTATGAAAAGGGTCAAACTTTAGGATGAATGACCACCATAAATATGGTGAATTTATAAGGAATTCAGTGGTTTTGTATAAAATTCATTAACTTCTAGAATCTAATGCCATCATGTGATTGGATTTTTTGCTGCTTTTCTTTTGAGTTTGAGAACACATCGCTGTTGTTTGATTAAACTTACTTGTGGATGACCTTCAAGATATATGATATCATGAATTTAATGTTTGAAAATAGAATCTTTGTAATTCTCCTCTTTTTATTCCACTGGTGATTTAAGTTTTGAAACTTATGTATCGTTTTGAGTAATGGAACAGTAGACAGACAAATCAGAGAAATGTAAGTTATATTAAAGAAATGAAATGCACACTTGAGTTACAATAATTCAGGATAATTTGAGAAATTGGTGTACTAAGTAATTGGGTATATCAATGTAATTTGGTATAGAGAATCCTGTAAGAATAAGATTGATTATGTGTACGTATTCATTGGTCGAGCTTGGCCTCTTGGTTGCCACGCGCATTCTCTTATCGTAGTCTTCTTTTAGTTATATCCTTAGGCGGGAAATCCATAAGCCATGCCTATAGCCTTAGCCTATCTAATGTGACATGATTAAATTAGTCTCCATTTGTTTTACATGTGGTATGAACTTTTCGTCTTAATCACCACAACCAGAATCAGAAACTAGGGTATTGTCTAGAGACAACGAGACCTAGAGTATCAGATATCGGTAATTAGAGACTCAATTCTCACATTTTTTGTAATGATAAACGTGTTTCAATTTAATTTAGACGCATGTTTCAATTACGTTCAACACAAAAACGGAACACGGTTTTAATTCCACCCCATATACTGCATTTAAAGTTGGTTCAACCAAAAAAATTATTTAATTCATACCGGTAAACTTCTATTTATGAGCATTCATTTGAACCATTACAAAATCAATTAGTCAACGATCATTGCGCTCTACCATTTGGATCCCCAAAGTACAAAATAAATAGTTCAGTTGCCCAACTCAAGCAACAACAAAAAAATTGAGTTCTCACTTCTCAACCATGATCGGGCAACCCATATGTCAAACACCCATCGGTGTTCAAAACATAACAAAAATGAAGTCGATATTTTAACACATTAAATATGTATGCAGGAAAACTGTCTAGCATACATCTCAGTACATAAACCCTTCAAAATAAAAACACAGCGGTTCATAATTAACAAATTCAATCCCTATTTTTCTTTTCTGAATTAATCGATCAAAAAACAAAATCACAGTTTGACAACTAACTCCCAAATTAAATGGAAATGTTTCTTTCTTCAAACCCTCAAATTAAATTACTTTATTTGCAAGGTTTTCAAGTCAATATCATTTAGACGAGAAGGAAAAATTTCAATAGGTAGTATCACAAATCCTTCTTTTTGGCATTCATCCTCGAGAAGCTTCACTTGAGAAGCCCCCTCAGGACAAAATGCAACAACAGCTCCTCCGCTACCTGTAAATTTTGACGCAGCTCCAACCTTTCTAGCAACCTCTACCATTTTTAAGTTCAAAGCACCGAGGGCATCATCCCCAAACATTAACCTGTACAATATCCCAACAACCAAGTTTAATAGATACTCCACAGTTCCATTTTCTCCATGCCTTTCATTTGTTTAAGGAAAACAAAATTAATGAATTTTTAGTGATAGAAGATACCCTACTTGAATCCTCTATATGTGTGTGTTTCTATGCATGTACATCACCAGATAGATTAGTGTATTAGGCACCCTTAGTTCCTTTGCTTGGGTATTAGTTGAGGGACCCTTAATTCCTTTGTAACTATTAAATGCAAGGAAGACCCTTAGACCTTCCCATCGGATATTGGGTGAGCTGACCCCTAGCCTTGAGATTTGCTGACAGAGTTGAGGGCCCCGATTTCAGATGATTATGGGATGTGACTTGTTGGGAGGAGTTGACTCCCCCAACTGATATCAATGTTTTTGCAAAGGTACTTTTTTTTTCTTCTTTTTAATCACTTAGTTTCTTAATGCCCTTACTGAGTCTACGTGACCACTTCTTATTAATGTTTCCGGATTATCCAACAGCTAGATAGTGAGCTTTATTGAGGTCTGCCAATAAGTATTGACTTCTTTTTATGCTAGATGTTTGGGCCATTAACTCCCATGTTCTAAACATTATAAGCCATCCAGGGAAGAACTTGTGTTTTAATTTAGATTATGTTTATTGTGTATTGGTAAACTAGAGTTGAGTTATGATTTAGTACTTAGTAGGCTTGCTAGACATAATCCTATCTGGATAAACTTCTCCATGAGTTTTTTTTATTAAAAAAAAATGTAAAATAAACTAACTTCTTCACAAGTTAAAATCAACTTAAGTACCTCAACTTATGGAGAAGCTAGATTAGAGTTTTAATAAAAGTTCAATTGCACAAGTTAATTTTAACTTACGAAACAAGTTTAATTCATTTTATCTTCTTATAAATGCTTAAAGAAAAGCTTATCCAAACAAGATCTATAGCATATTCTATGTGCTGATCACAGTTTAGTGTTTTCAGTTGTCAGAAAAACCAATTAACCTTCAATGAGAAAGTAATCTGTTTATTGAAAACTTCATTCAAGTTTCAGAACTGTATTGTTGTAACTGCTATCCGTCAAAGAACCAAATGGTCCAAATGTTGATATCTAAATATAATGAGATAGAAAACTTTGAATCACCTTCGCAAGTCAAAATTTCGATTCATGAGTGCTGCAAGTTTGGAGTAGTCTTTTTTTTCTAATGCAGTCCTTCCTTCTTCAGCAATACTAGCAACTTCAAGCATTGAAGACACAATGAATTCATCACCATCAAGCCACCTCTGTCGTACTTTACTATGAACCTACAAGTTGCTGTCAATTAAAATTTATACTTATAAAGGAAAATGATCTAACACAAGCTTCTAATATGGAATTGAAAAGCCTACTCATTCAAAATGTTATCTCAGAATATCACTGTATATCACTAGCTCCAACATAATTTTCATTGTGGCATATAGTGACTAGCCCAATGCCAAAATTCTGGTACTGTACTTCAACAGATAAAAGGACTATTCTTAGGAAGCAGATATTACCACAGACATCCCTTGTGTTGGGGTATGGGTAAAGATCTGAAATTTTATGAAAACTAATGCAATATATCTAAAAAATAATAATAACAACAACATAAAAATCGAATGCAATTACATAATACAGGAACAGGCAGGGTGCATAGAATAAAAACAAAGATGAAGCCACTGCATGCCACTAACTAACCTTGCCAGAATCACTAGGATTTTCCGCATAGATGAGATACAGAGGAGGGAGGAGACTCAAATCCATAGGTGTATAAATACCATGGCCCAGTTCATCCATGCTATCCTTGCTAAAGTCCTATGAAAACAGAGCAAGCAAGTCACTCACATTATTCATCGATACACATTCATTACATTAAGAAACGAAGTGTTCAATGGAAATAAAACAAGAGTTTATTTTCAATACACCCACAACTAATCAAAAATCATCATTGGTCTTGTGATTGAAAGTATAGAATAAAAACTTCTAACAATATCAATACATATACTATTTACAGATAAAAACAATAAAGAAGTTAATTAAAACACATCTTTCGTGTAAAAGTTTTTTATAGTCATAAAAAGTTTTTTCTTATTAATTTCTCCAAAACCTTATTTTTTTTACTTTGCGTAAGTTAGTTTAACCTTATAGAAAAGTTTATTTCGATTTTTCTTCATTTTTTTTTTCTTCTAAAAGTATATTTGGAGAAGTTTATCCTCACAGACTGATTGTCTTGCATGAAAAGTATGTACAATTTAACCATAGCTAAAATTATTTATCATTGGTTGACACTCTAAAGATCTATAAATCGCGATCACAGCCGCATCGTTGTTCTTAACACTGCATGAAATTACAGACAACTGCGGCCACAATCCCGGTGCCAGAGACTCCCAAAACCTTACCATTCCACAAGCAGACCAAAATTTGAAACACTGATTCACATTGCATGCCAATCAAAGCGAAACAAAAACGCAGTTACCATGTAAACAAGGCCACCGTAAACTTGCGCGACCCGATCCTGAAGACCAGCGACAATTCCAAGCTCTTTCTCCGCAGCGAGAATAAGGTTAGGCCTGATCTCCACCTTGACGAGGTGCCTCACAGCGTAGAAATCAAGCAAACAGTTCAACGCAGCGCACACAATCCCGCTGGAACCGGAGAGACCAGCCTGAGAGAAAGAAAGAAACGGCATAAAACGGATTGAAACGTGGAAGAGTTGCGTTGCAGGCACGGTACGTACCTGGCGAGGGATGTTAGTGTCGTAGGAGAGAGTGAAATTGGATGGACGAAGTTGGATAGCGTTGTCTCGGCAATGAGCGTAGAAGACTTTGCAGATAGCCATGAGCAATCGCACGCCGCCATAGTAACCCTCGGAGCTCAAGCGGTGAACCTGCATGTGTTTGATGAATTGACATGCATGGTGGAAACGGAATAAGAGGAAGAGAATCGAAGATACGAACCAATTGAGAGAGAGATGCGAAATGGACGAGATCGTGGAGAGGGTGGGGTTGGATGATTAAGACGTCGGAGGGAGCGAGTTTGACGGTGGCGCAGAAGTTGCCCAGACTAAACGATATCGTTTTGCCGTAATACACGTCGCTCGGGTTTCCCAGAAAACCCACCCTCGCGTAAGCCTTGTGCTCGATCACATCGCTAACCATATCCATTGCTCTCTCTCTCTGCCTCATCACCCTACTACTATCTCTTTTATCTATAATCTATGTCAAAGTTTTTCCTTAATTTTGTAATTATTTTTTTCTTAATTTTGTAAACTAAAATTGAGATGAAAATCATGGATGGTTCAACAGTCATTTTCAAAGTCAAGTAAGGAGATTGAAAGATGAACATGAGATAAAAATAAACATTTAAATTTAAGCTCTAGATAAAGCTAGAATATAAGTGTGTATAATAAATATTGTTGAATTATTTTGTAATTATTATTTGTATATATTTTTTGTATTATCTGATTTGTGAGAAAGAGATAAGATTAAAAATTGTAATGAATTGCATAAGAATAAATTTTGGGATTTGGTATGATAGGAAGATGCATGACATAAATTGATTAAATGAATAATTGATTATTGGTAGGGACGTGGAAGAATATTGACAAGACTTTCTGTACTTGTTGTTGTTTTTTATTGGCAGGGGGCGTACTGCGATGCAAATCTCGTCGACGAGTGCACAGGCACGGACCTTGGAGCATTATCTTCACTTCACAGTATTCGATTACAAATCAATACTTTTATATATATATATATATATATATATATATATTTCTTTTTTTTTTTACACTTTTATTTTTCTTTCTTTTAAAAATATTTTGTGACTATTTTTTTTTTGTTCTAGTTATTGTAATTTTGCACAAAATGTTACAAAACAAGAAACTCAAAATTGCAACAAAATAAAATACAAGTATATAATTCAAAAATTAGTGAATAATGTTGCTACTTTTCTTATTTTTACTTAGGTCTATTGGAATGTGTAAAGCGAAGTCCCACATTGGTTAAAGTTGGACATGTTGAGTAATATATAAGTGAGAAAAATCACTTACCTAATGCCTTAAGATTTTAGGTTATGTTGTGGTGTCAAGCTCACTTATGTGACTTACTACCCATTATATTGAGTGCTCCCTGATGTTAAAAACTCTCCAACAAGATCTTTGGCTTTCAAACATTTTGAACTTCAAAGAGAGAGTTCAACTAATATTTTGTTGCTGCCTCAAGAGTTTAAAATATCCATCAAAGTTTGTAATCAAATTGAACACAAAAAAAATTCAAGAAACAATGAAAACTACAAGACATATGGAAACATAAATCTATTAATGAACTAATGAGATGCATGAACTCAAAGATTATGAACTAAAAACACATCATGCAATTTTAGCCAGCACAATTATATATATATATATATATATATATATATATATATAAT